GTATGTATGTAGGTAGGTAGGTACGTACGTACGTATGTATGTATGTAGGTAGGTAGGTACGTACGTACGTATGTAGGTAGGTAGGTATGTATGTATGTATGTAGGTAGGTAGGTAAGCAGGTAGGTAGGTAGGTAGCGAGGGTAGGTAGGTAAGGTAGGTAGGTAGGTAGGTAGGTAGGTAAGTAGGTAGGTAGGTAGGTAGGTATGTATGTATGTATGTCTGTACGCGTGTATGTCTGTATAACAGTCCCCCTCCCACCCGTCTGGTGTGGTGGGGGTGTGGTACTGTCCCCCTCCACCCCCTGTGGTGTGGTGGGGGTGTGGTAGGGGTTGGAACCCTTTCTACATATATATATATATATATATACCCCAAGCCCCCCCCCCCCCCTGTGGCCTGTGGTGGTGGTATGGTTCTTCTGGTCCCCCCCCCCTGTGGCCTGTGGTGGTGGTATGTTGGTATGTTGGTATGTTGGTATGTTGTTGGTATGTTGTTGGTATGTATGTTGTATGTATGTTGGTATGTATGTTGGTATGTATGTTGTGTAAAAATGGCAGCTTCTGTTGAAAGTGTTGCTGAGGCCGCGCACTGTCGAAGCAATCTTTTGTTGAACTGTGCTGTTGTCTCTGGACCTGTTGTCCAGCCCAAGGGCCCTGAGTTGAGCCCAGTGCCAACGTTGGTATGTTGGCTATCCACAATGTTGCATATTAACACGGCCTCTTGGCCACACATGTGTTGTTGACATGTTTGGCCACAAACAAACGATTCTATGAACATTGTTGCAACTAAGCTAACTACGTTGTTGACACAAAAAGGCTATTAACAGTCTATTATATTGGCTATATGTTGAAAGAATTCTGTACACTTTACATCATCGAATGTTGATCAAAGATGTTGTCTACAACATGACATGTAGTGTACACCTGTTGATCCGAATTCGACGTCATTCTTTCCAACGATGTTGGTGTCCTGCATCACCAGCATCTCTGTTGTTTCGGGTGTTGACCCAAGATGTTACAGTTTCACCCTTTTGTTGATGTCATCATCAACTGTGATCTCTGTCATGTTGAATCATCCAGACAGATCGTTGCCATCCTCGTTGGCTGCAATGCCCTCTTCGTCGATATCCATGTTGTCTCCAGCATTGCATTTGGTTCTCCAAGCGTTGACCTGTTGGGCATACTCTGCGTAGTCGAACTTGTTGACGAACGACATCAAAGCAGGGTTGCCTCTCAGGCGCTCCACTGTTTTGGCTCCATGCCAATGGATGTTGCTCGTGTTGAGCATTGATCTCTGTTGGATCAGAGGGTGCGACTGTGTCAAAAGCCCTTTGATCCTCTTGTTGACATCGTCATCGAAGTGGTCCAAAGCCTGTAGGCCTGTGTAGGCCAAGGCTTGCACGACCTGTGGCCATTCATTGGCATCTGTATTGATCACCTTGCTGGCATCAACAGGCACGTTGAAGGTCCACAGGATGTTGTGCTTCCACGAGAGACGATCGTGGACTGTCCACAAGAGACTTGTTGTCTCAGATGTCGTTGTGATCACCCAGGACTGTTGGGTGCTGAGCTCATAGTTGTTGAATCGAAGTGTTCGATTCCATGGAAGCTGCATCTGCGGTGCCACATATCCTCTGTTGAAGACGGTGATTGCACCATTTGCCAATCGAAGTTGGTTCTGTTGATGATCTTGTTGAAAGCTCAGGAGGATCCACTGTGTTGTCTCAGCTGTTGAGCAATGACCTTCTGTCTGATGATAGACAAGGGTCGTTGCCGCCAACTGCGGAGACATGTTGAAGATCATCTTGTCGAAGGCTGGCATTCTTGTTGCCCCACTAATTGTGGGCAACAATTTGTTCTCCCCCGTGTTGGTCAATGGAATCAAGCTGTTGAACTCCTCCACTGTGAGCATGAGCCAGTAAACTGGCATGTTGTTTTCCACAGCAAACAAGTGGAACTCGTCTGGTTCCAAGGCTGTTGGATTTGTGACCTCACTTGTTGTGAGGCACTTCACCACCTTCAGGCCCATCTCCTTCAATGTGATGCCCAGTTGGACATAGTTGTTGACTGGTCCACCAGTCTGGGAGATGTTGACCAGCTCCATGGTGTTGGTCGAGTGTTCTCTGTTGATCTCGGAGCTGTTTGGCCGGGAGTGGCTGCGGTCAAAGCTCTCTGTTGTCAACAAAAAATGTTGACGCAGAATCTGCACAAAAATCAAGTGAACATGTTGAATTCAGGAACTGTTGAAACAAGAAAACGAAGTAAACGTCATGTTGTACTTCACGAGGATATTGTTGACACGTACGGCCTCAATCATGTAGTGCACTTATGTTGAAGTGGTACATGTCATACTGTGTGATACATCTTGTTGAAATACTTCACGTTGTAGTTACGGCAAGGGAGTGATCAACTTTGTTGATCCCATAGCTCAAATTCAACATCTAGGATGTGTGTGTGTGTCGTGCACGCGCGTAGTGTGATACTTAGCTGCCGCCTGCTTGTTACACGCTGCTGCTGGTGAAACTGTTGAGGTGGTGCGTCAGTTGTGGTAGTGCTGCTGGAAAGTGATTCCAGCCTGTTGAAGGTGTCGTTGCAGGGTGTCTGTTGGGACATATTTTGTGAATATGTCTGCCGGGTTGTCGTTGGTGTGTATTTTGATCAGCCGCACGTAATCGTGCTGGATCAGTTGTTGTATGAATAGATGTTTCAGGTCAATGTGTTTGGCCTTTCTTGATGACCCGATGCGTGTTGCCATGCTCTTGCCACTCGAAGAGTCTGTGTGGATCTTGATGTTGACCTTGCTCACGTTGAGGAGCTCGATGAGAAGGTTTCTGAGATGTAATGCTTCAGTTGCACCGGTGTTGATCGCGTAGAGCTCGGCCTCTGCGCTCGACAATGCTAGTGTCGCCTGTGTTCTGCTTCCGTAGTTGATTGTTGCGCCGAGTAGTGTGATCACGAATCCCGATGTTGACCGTCTTGTCTGTGGACATCCTGCCCAGTCGCTGTCCACAAAAACGTTGAGATCTGGGATGGCTCGTGGTGGAATTTTTGCTGTTGGTCGGATGATCTGCTTGTAGTGTCTTGTTCCTTTGATGTAGCGTAGTAGATGCTTCAGCTTTTGTTGATCAGCTGTTGTTGGCTGCTGCAGTGATCGTGCTAACTCCTTTGTTGCGTAGCTGATGTCTGGCCTGGTGTAGGTCATCCATTGAAGTTTCCCGACTGCTCGTCGAAATTGCGCATGCTCTTCTTGTGAAAGAGCCTGTTCGTGGTCTGCTGTTGCTGTCTTCAATGCTGATGTCCCTGGTGCTGGTGCCGGTTTGCAGTCTTGGAGACCCATCTCCGTGAGAAGGGTTGTTGTATAGTCGTCGTTGAGGCTGATTTCGTAATGGTCACCACGGTTGGCGATGTTGCGTCCCAGAAACGACACAGTGTTTCCTGGGGTGAGTGTTCCTGTTGGTCGAAGTAATAGTTGTTGCTGAATTGCTGTGAAGAGTTGGTTTGTGACTTGTTCCTCGCCTAGGAACAATAGATCGTCAACGTACACAAGTACGAAGCAATCTCTCGTTGATGTGAAGTAAATGTTGGGTTCTGCTGCAACTGCGTTGAAGTCCAAGTTGTTTCAGGACTTGTGCCAGGTGATTTTGCCAGGCTTTTGGGCTGCTGCGTAATCCGTAGATTGCCTTGTTGAGCTTCCAAATGATTTTGTCTGCTGGGTTGTAGAATTCCTTTGGTGGATACATGTAGAGATCTGCTGTCGCTGCTGCCGCGTGTAGAAATGCCACTGAGATGTCTCCTGTTCGGACCATCCATCCGTTGTTGCAGCTAAGTGCCAGTAGTGTTCTGAGCACGCAAAAGATTGGTGTTGAGGCGTAGATCTCGTCGAGATCTGTCACGGCCTCTGTGAAACCTTTTGCTACGATCCGGGCTCGGACCGTGTTGCCTTTCTCGCGGAGGACCCAGCGAGATTGTATGATGTTTTGTCGTTGCTGGGGAGTAAGGGAATCGAGGTGTACCTCCATGTAGACTTGTTGTGACTTCATCGATTGGATCTCGTTCTTCATTCCTTCAATTGTTTTGGCTTTGTCCAGTCCTTCGGTGTTGTTGACCCAGGGTTCTATCAGGATCTTTTCTGTCTCTTGTTCCGTCACGTCTTCACAGGAGTATGCTGTGATCTCAGTCCCTTGTTTTGTAGTCATTGTGACCTTGGTGATTCTCAATTTGCTCTTTGGTTGTTCCGGAGTTGCTTCCGGACGTGCTGGTGCTGTTGTTTGTGTGGTTGTCCGCTGTTGCTTTGCTTGACTGCCTTCAGCGATGTCGTCAGCGACAGTTCGCTTTGGCGGTGGTGTTGGCATGGCCTGTCGGCTGTGACAGCTGGTTGGCGAAGTTGCGAGTGGTGCGTCTGCGATCGCTGGCGTTGTCGTCCTTGCTGTGTTGGTGCCTGTTTGTGCTGCTTGCGACGGAAGTCG